TTAATTACATTATTTATATGTTCAAACCTCCGGTTATCTACTAACTGGAGCTTCGTCACTGTCAGGGCCCCATATCCGTTTTCATGATTATGAATCCATAACAACAATACCCGGACACGGTGAAGGCTAGTCACCGGAAATACGTCAGAATAAAGGTGATTAATTAAGAATTAAATATTTATTGTTGAAAATGATTTTATTAAATTATTAATTAATGTTTAAAATTGCACTTAATTCTGAGCATTAATTTTTTGAAACTTGCTTACAGTTTAAAAAGACTTAATCCAAGCAATCCTCTTAATTATTTATTTATTTTTGGCTTACACATTGTTAAGCACTTTTTTACAAAACATAAAGTATCTAAACGATTTTATGCTACACAAAATTTACACAGAATTTGCACAAAATTTACTTGCCCTTCGAGGCATATTCAAATATTTGTACTTATTTCCTTAAAAATGCCTGCCTGGCTTGGCCTGGTCTGGTGTGTGTGTTACTGTGTGACTGTGTGTGGTACAATATTTTAACCTACTTGGCTGATGTGGTTTAAAGTATCTCGTAAGTTAAAAAATAATGTTTACACACATTATTTTCAGCATCAAATACGTTTAATAATTTAACTCATATAGCCTTACAACAATTTCAGTAAACCATTGACAAAAGGATACTGCGCCTTGCTCTTCAAAAGGAAGCAAACAAATTTTTTCAAAAAGGTTTTGTGAGGCTTTTACGCTTTCACCTGCTACAAAATCAAATTTAAGAGCTGCTAAACTATATTCTACTCTATTTCAAGTAGCATTCAATGTGTGAAAGGTTATAAATTCGTGTAGTGTGTGTTCGGAATAGGAAAGTAGTGGTTTCAACGCCTAACCATACCAGTAACAAAAATGTAGTAGTAACATTTTTTTATTCACCTTTACTCGTATATACTTATTTTTTTTTTTTGTTTGGTTTTTGTTGGTAGTTTAGTATTTCTGACATTTTTAACATAGCTTCTATGGTTCTAGGCGCCTACAAAGCGCATAAATGAAATTATGCCAATATTGAGCAAAGTCCAAAAAAGCGTTCAACCAATCACCAAACTCACGGTTCAAAGTTGAAGTACAAAATAAATTGCGTAAAATAGGCGTTGGCGTTTCATGAAATGATATTTTATTTTCATTTTTATAACCTTTTAAATTTTATGTTACATCAAAGGTTGATAATTTTGCTTATGTTTCCGGCAACATAAAGCATACCATATTTCCCCTATTCCCCTATATTTTATATGCACTTCAAATAGGTCGTTTAGATGCCAAGCAAGTAGTACGAGTATTTTAGCAAAGTAGAAATATTCAAATAATTTTTATAGTTAAATATGACAGACATGCGTAGTTTTAGTAAGGGAGCTATGCAAATAATTCCCGGAATTAATTTAAGTTAGGGCTAAAAAAGCAAATTATATTTGTTCTAGAAATAAAATCATTATTTATTTATTTATTTATTATTTATTTTTTTTTGTTGTATTCACAATTTTATGCTTTGAACTTTCCCCTAAAAATTAAGTGCCTACCTTTATGTGTTTGAATGGCTTTGTAACGTTGTAACATATAGAATCTTTGATGTACAATGAAAGATTGTAGGCTTTTTCTTAAAATTTCTGTTGATTTAGAAAATGTTCAATAAGAAATCATTGAATCATTGATATAATTTGTTTTGACAACGAAAGCAATTTAAGGCGTTGGGCGTATCTACACTTTGGTAAACGTGTGGACCTATAGGTATGTGTAAACAAACCTTAAACCTATATAAACAGTAACTTACCATGTATAAAATTATATGTTTTTGTTTGGGTTGCTTCTACTACTTCAATTGTGAAGTTTTTTAATTTTATTTATTGATATTAAAATAAAAAAAAAACTAATAAAAAGGAATGTCAATGAAAAGTAGTGAATTGAAAATGAAAATGAAACTGTAAGCTTAGGTGATACTCCAGAGAAATAAAAATGAAAATGAAAATTATTGAAAAAAATTAAAATGAAACTGAAAAATTCAAAAGTTTTTGGAATACATTTCACTTATATATATGTACAATATTATATATATATAAATATATATTTTATATAAAAATATTTACATATAAATTCTACATTAGCTTTACTGCTGCTACTCGTACTATTGCAATATTATTATTTATTCTTCCTTGAACTGAACTTCAACTTACTTCCATCTTTTTTGCTTAAGTAAACAAAACAAACTTAAATTCAATACAATTTCATAAAACATTTTTCTTTTGTGGCAGTCACCTTTTTCTTGAAGTTGTATGATTTGATACTGAAAATAATTAAATAATTATTGTATATGACTACAAGCAACCTCAGATATCCGGAGTTTTTTACGTGATTACATGCCTTGTTGGCTCAACAGCACAGTATTCTTAGCACATGTATCAAGATAAAGCGCCAATGTTATTCCATCGGTTACAATTGAAGTTATATATTTGGCATAATTGGTATATGGGTCTCCTTGGTAACGAGTGAGACCCATCAAACCTATGCTGATCTTTTGGTCACAGCGCCCAGTGTTAAAACGCAACTTTACCCCGAATTAGCATTAAAAAATATAATCATTCTTGTTGCGTAAATTCGGGTTTTAAGAAAATCTAGTAAGTTAAAACTTACTCACTATCATTTACACTTCAAACAGTGCCGAATGGTAGCGGAATTTTAGTCGCCTCTTACCTCAGGTATGCTTTACCTCGGTAATATTTTAGTCCCTTATCTAAATAAAAAAAAAAATAAATACAATATTATTCGATTGCAGGACAGCTCATATCAAGTTGGCTTTGTTTATGATCGAAAGGATTCGGATCTGTAAAATCTTACAGTAAATTTATTGTTTATATAAAATAGAGGTTATGCTTGCTGCAGAGCACTATATATTATTTCTTTAAAATGGGTACTGCTTTTAAATAATATATACTAGAATATACCAGATATATATGTGCCTTCAGGCGAGTGCTGGACAATATTAGAGTAATTCTTACCTAACTCTGACCTACAACTTCATTATTAGTCATTGAAAGGAGCCACACTCCAATTAGCATACCAAGCATTTCAGGAATGCTAGATACTAATAGAGCAACTAGACAACACTTATTCTTCTACTTCTGAAAAACAATTTCCCTGACAGCTTTCAAAAATAGTCACCATTTGGTTGGTATGCATATTCAATTATCAGAAAATAACGACGTATATTGAACAACGAGGAACTTAGAAATGAATTTATTTTATTTTATTTCGAATATAATTATAGATAAAGAATCAAATTTAATATTACATCTCATATATCACATTAAGATATATAAACTACTTTTTATTTAAAGCATCAAACGCGAACTGAACATAACGAGGCTATAAAAATATTGCCTCTACTCTTTATTATTTTAGTTTGTTCAAATATATATTTTATTTTTTTTTTTATTTCATTTTATTTTAAATTATTTTCTTTTATGGTATTTTATTTTATTTTTTTATTTTATTCTATTCTATTTTATTTCATTTTATTTTTTTGTTATTTATTTTATTTTCTTTTACTTTATTTATTTTATTTCATTTTTTTTTTATTTTCTGTTCTATATTTTATTTTATTTTATTTTTTTTTATTTTATTTTATTTTACATTACTTTATTTTATTTTATTCTTTTTTATTTTATTTTAATTTGTTTCTTTTATTTTATTATAATTTTTTTCGTTATAATTTATTATACTTAAATATATATTATATATTATATATAGAAATATATAGAAATTATAATTCCTCATTAATACGGTAGTTATTAGAATATATAGTCAATATAAAATTTGATAAATTAAAAATTAAACTAAAAAAAAAAGACCTAAGTTATTTGCAACTAACATTTCTAAAACTGTAATGATATATTCATCTATTCATTTAAATCAACCACAATTCTAAAACAGTTCTTATCAATAACCAAATCTAGAAAACCTAATATGCTTTACACAGTCATCTAAAGTTAAAATAAATTAAAATTATTTATCAAGAAAATCGTCAGCTCATTTACTTGTGGTTGCAAAAATAATAATTAAAATAGAATGGGTTTATATGTTTATATTATTAAAAAAAAAAAAGATGAATTAAAAATTTAAAAGCCTCAATTTAGAGTGAAATCATTCTAACAATATAGCAAAGTATATAGTATCAAAAAAAAAGCGATTAACCTCGAATTTAAATTCATTTTTCTTAGAATATTTAAATGTGTGGTTTCTATATTAAATTTAAAATTACAAAATTTGTAAAGAATGTTTAATTGAATTTTATTTAATTTAAAAATAATTAATTTTAATGATATATTAATAACAACCAAACATAATGGCAATATAAATTGAAATAATATTTAAAGAATGCAAAAAGAAAAATATTACACTTTTAATCTTTGTTACTTTATCTGCATTTTTAAGTTCTTATGAATTATTGGATATTTAATTACTACTATATTTTTACTATACTATTATTAGAACTACAAAATAAAAAAAAAACTTTAAATAAAAAGAAATGAATACTTCAAACGTCAAAATCCACATATTCAAGACAATGGTTGTAATATTTGAATTGAAGGCTTGGACTTAAAAAAGGAGTATAATAGATAGCCCATATATGTTACAGTAGAACGAAAGTGATTCACAGACTCACCAGTCTGTAACTGTTTATGAAAATTCAAAAATTAATTTATTAATTTATTTATATACATATGACTTATATTAAAAAAGTATTTTAAATATATAAAATTGTTAAAAATGTCAAATGTTTTAGCAAAGCTTTTAAAACGTAATTAAAATCACAGTGAGCAACAATAAAATTGGAACTTTAAACTGGAGTAGCTTTAAACAAACTTTGCGGTTTAAATGGTTAACACCCTCGAAATGATTAATTTTATGCACATAAAATAAGTGCTATCATTTAAATATTTATATAAAATATGCAATATTATCCTTTTTTACCTTTTTAATATTCCATGCAGTGGCAGTCCATCACATACACTGCCAAACTCAACTCATGAACTCGAATAAATAAACGTCATTAAATTGAAATCCATTTAATTTGTCATTAAATTCTGAATATAAAAGCGAGCTGACACTTCATTTAAATAAATCACTGAAAATATAAAAATAAATTAAATTAAATAAATTAAATTAAATAAATTAAGTAAAATAATTATATTGTTTTTAGATAAAAGATAATTTGATGATCAAATCAAGTTTTTCCGGATTCAATGTAAATTTACTCTTGATGTGAAAACGAAAAGACAGAAGAACTTGCAAAGCAAGGGTCAACTGTAGCCATTGGCCTACAACATAACTGCGACCAATATCGATAAGTGAATAATTTCACTTAATCTTAGCAGGTTAAGTGAGATGAGCACTTGCAGACGGGCTAAAGTCATGATGCCAAAACCGATGGTCAGTGAAACGTTAAAAATGCTGGACATGGAAACTTTAAATATCACCTTAAAAAGATAGCTCTTGTTGAGGAAAATACTTTCAGTCTATATCTAGAACAAAAGGTGACAGAAGTGCATATATTGTGTCAATGTCAGCATTGGCAACAGAAAAATTACTACTGGGACACCATTGAGTTGTTGATGACTTGGCAGTCATCTTCAAGTTAAATGAGCTGCTTGCACTAACAAGAGATGTAGTTATGCGAACGGAAACCATTTTGGTTTTAGCTCAATAATGATATCCGAGAATCGAAGAAATAGAAAGGACCCAATGTTTTCTGGTCTACTTCGGTTAATCCTTCACTTCAGTGGGGCCACTTAATGGACGGTGTACTGTCCCAACGTCCTACAATACTTTCGATCTGTTAAATTTTGTTGCCTCTTGGAACATTTTTAGAATAATCTTACATTTTTGTAGGTGTGTGTGTAGATATTCACATTTTTCATATATACATATATTGAAATCACACTATATTTGTCAAATTATATAAAACAACTGTTAATTTCAGGGTAATCTTGCTACTCTGGTAAAATATCTAGAGTGCTATAAATTAATCTCTTATGTTATACATTTCGCTTGAGATTTGCCAATCAAAAACGGCATTAGTAAGCCTATGACATGCATTTTGACTAGTACGTCAATTGATGAAATTTAGTACGTTATTGTTTTTTTTTCTGATCACACTATTATGCAACTTAAAAAAATTACATTGAACTCTATATGGGTTTAGTTGAGTAACTACTCAACTTGATTTAAAGAATTGAATAAAGATACGTACATGGTACTGCATATGGGTACTATTTAATCCAACCCAAATATGGTTGCATTAAGTTTTATTAAAGAGTGACTCTAATTTTTAATTGTGACTAACTTTTTATTTTATTGGACAATTATATTACTTATAAAATTTTTATATAAATAAATATATAATTATAATTAATATATAACTAAAGATTACGATGACAGATTATTAATTTTGTATTTTTTTTTCTTTCTCTTTTTTGCAGTTTTCAATCGCAGTCATTCCAATGTTTCAGTAGCCTTAAAAATTTATAAACATATAAACACCAAACAATAAAATATATTTTTGAAATAAAATATATAAAAAATAATAATAAAATAAACAAAAATTATGTTAAATTCAAAAACTAATATAAGTATTTTGTGAACAGGATCTGGAATCCTGTATCCTGCTGTAAATATATATATCTAGTTAAATAATATAGTGGTGTAGGTGTTTAAATTTATTTTAATTAAGTTAAATTAATTAAAATGACAAAAAAGTATGAATTCGATTGGATAATACCGGTACCACCGGAACTAACAACAGGTTGCGTCTTCGATCGTTGGTTCGAGAATGAAAAGGAAACAAAAGAAAACGATTTTGAAAAGGATGCACTATTTAAAGTGGATGAGTATGGATTCTTTTTATATTGGAAAAGCGATGGCAGGGTAAGATATTTAATATTTAATACTTAAAGTAAAAAATTTAATGCATAAAATCCTTAATTAAAATACTGCACATATTTAATTGCATTTTATTTTTTCAATGTGAACAATTTGCATACTAATTACATGTAAATTGCACACTCTCAATAGCAAATTCACAGCTGCAGTTTTTTTTATTCATTTAATTAATCATTTTATTAACGTTTTAATAACGTGCATTAATATCATTTATTTAAAAATATTTAATTTTTTAATTATTCAATTTTTGCAGGAAGGTGATGTTATAGAATTATGTCAAGTGAGCGACATAAGAGCTGGAGGAGTGCCAAAGGTAAGTTTCATTTGCATAAATACAAAAAAAAATTAGCACTCTGTATGTTGGCAGAGTAAATTCTCCATGGATTATGATTTTAAAATTAAGCATTAAATTTTTTAATATTTTTTTGTTTGGCAAAATGGAATTATTTTATTCAAAGTAGATACCTTCTGGTTGAATGCAGTGATCTTAAAGCATATCGAATGAAGGTTTTAGATCAGGATCCAGAATTTTGTTTAAGATATTGTATAAGTATATCGTGTTTTTAAGATACACGAGAACTATTGATATTGATAACTATAGTTTGACAACTGAGAATGTCAAACTGTTTTGACATTTCTGTTCAGTAAAGTTTGGCAATCCATTATAAATTGTTTAACGCTAGAACAACGCTTTACTACTGTTTCTCTTTCTTTATAAAATATTATGCATAAAACTAATATCTTCTTATTAATAGTAGTCTTACATACCCAGTATACCTTGCATAATATTTGCTCACTTCAATCTAATAGTGATGAAAATTCCGCAATTTTCGAAGGCAATATATAATACAGATATCCCCGTCTCGTAGACATTGTTTTCTTTTCTTATAAGTCATATCTGATACTAAGCATACTAAAACTAATATGTTGCCTAAAATTAAGATTAATTGTATGTACTGTATATTTGGATATGATTGATAGAACTGATAGGTGTTGGATGACTTCGGTAATTAGAGATATTTGTTGAAAAATACTAAGATAGGACAACGGTCATTATACCGAAGATGATGATGATGGTCTTCAAGCATTCAAGTCTTTTTTTCACTGGTTTGATTTTCATTAAAGTCCTCTCTGGAATATTTACGAGGCTTGTATTTTTTATCATTAAATTTTCGTTTGATATCCGAAATATAAGGTTTATAAGCGTTATTGTATTTTCTTAAGATAATTTTTTTTCGCTGCTACTAACTATAACAAATACTCAGTATAGATGGGTGTTATTCAATAAAATATTAGAGATTTAAGACTCTGTGTAAAGAGTCTATTAGTTGTTAGCGGCTTCTATGTTTAAATTGCCATTAATTGGAATGGCCATAAAGCTGAATGAAAAAACTGACTCCAAATAACCGACGGTATGAAACGTACTCCACGGCGAATGAATGACAATTCTCAAATCATTCTTCCAGATCGGATCATCTTTGGTCAGATGTCGAGAGTGCCGTGTTCACTCATTACCATTTGTACTTCCTACATAAGTGCCAGACTGGTCCTGGGGGATTTTAGTCGCCTCTTACGACTGGGAATCTCCGCAAGGAAAATATAATATGACAGGTGGAGAAAGATTTTAGTTCTTAAATAGAAAATAATTTGAGAAGTCGGAAAGATTAGATTAGATTATGCTGGCAGACCAAAAAGGTCCCGCATAGACGCTTAAGGTCCATTGCGATACCGCGTTTCGTTAGCAAATTTTATTAGGATTCCAACAGAAATCTCAGGTATGTGCTTCAGTCCTGTAAAACTGACAGCCCCCAAGTATTTTTGTCCAGTTTTCGAGAGAGCCGAGCAATTACACAGTAGATGCTCCAGAGTTTCTTTGCATCCAGCTCGTTGCATTTCCTACAAGCATCGCTGTGAGTAAGGTTTAGTTTTCGGGCATGTGATGGTCGCATCTAAACGACAATGACCTGTCAACACACCAATTAATGTTCTGCAGTTCCTTCGGTTAGACGATATAACATCCTTGGTGTACTTTTCTTCGTATATGTGTCTACACATGATTCTAGCTATTCCGCACGTGGTTAAGTTCCGCCACCTTATCTTTGCTCTCCTTGTCATGTGCTCGTCCAGAAGTTTATGTATTTGTTTTTCAGGTCTGAGTACTTTGCTCGTTTGTTCCTCTGAAAGTTTTGCGCCATTGTTAGCAATAGCGTCAAGTGTCTCATTTCGCTCTATGCCTTTATAACCAGGAATTCAGTACATACAAAGTCTGCGGTTGCAGGCTATTCTGGCTATAGTTTCCTTACATTCTAGAACATTTTTGGATGATGACTAGTAGGATTTGATTGCTCTTATGACTAATGGAAAGGTGCCGTTTATATAAATCGAGGGGTGGGAAAGAAGTTCATTTCTTTAATAAAGAAAATAATCTGAGAAGTCCGCAACGTGCCGGTAATGTATGTTTAATAGGCAATAAATCGAAGGGTGGAAAAGGAGTACAGTTCTTTGATAAAGAAAATTATATAGGATATCGGAATCGCTCTATTTATGCATATCATAGGAAAAGAATAGAAGAGTGTGAGATTAGTTCAGTTATTAAATGAAGAAAATTATAATTTTTTTGGTGAAAGTTAACTTAAATATTTATAAGTACATATTCTGTTGTTCGACGAATATGCTATGCTATTTGAAGAAACTGTTACCGCCATAAATCGTTAGGCACATTGTTGTTTTTCAATTTCTGGTTTTGGGACGATGATTTACTTAATATTAAATTTGTTTCTTACTTTTCACAAAGTCCGAAAAGGTAAATAAATTAAAATTGAAGAAGAAACTTCCCACAACTTTTGAACTAAATTAAAAGAAATTATTTTGTAATATTTTTTTTTAATTTCGTTTAATTTTTTTTTTAATAAGAATTAAAGTCGTGCCTTTCTGCCAAAATGAAGTTGTACAAAATTTTCATTTTGTTTATCTTAAAACTTTTGTTGCGTCGATCCACTTTTAATTGCGAAATGACGCCCAACCACACTAACCGCAAAAATATGGTTAACCACGCTCGCTCCACTGCTTAAAACTGTCCACATCGCTTTGCCGTAGTTGGCGGTACGGCATGGTTTTTGTTGGTAGGTGCTTAAGCGCACAAGTGGTCGCTCGTATATTGTTTTCTGTTCATCTTTTATTCATTCATGTCCTCTTTCATACACAAATACACTAACACACTAACACACTTACACACATAAATACAATACACAATATTTATGCTTAAAATTTGTTATTGTTTAAAATGGCGGGTGTGGGTTAATTTTATTTGTGTATTTTGTTTGTTTTCTTTGTATTATTCTTTTGCTTGTGATATTGTTGTTGTTAATTCATGCGTTGAGGTGTCAAACATGAGCACAGTAAATAAAATCAAGCTTGTTACAAACATAATTCCCATTATTTTTTCTTATACTTGTTTTTTTTCACTTTTATTGCGGCTTTTTGTACCTTTTTATCCTACCAAAAAAAAAAAAAAATGCTAGCTGTTCCCATTTTAATGTACTTTACTTACGCTTAAGTTCATTTTAGAACAGTGCGTTGTACTGCGTACTGCGTACCGCGTACTTCAAAAATAGTTAATGGAAATTAATGACATTTTACTTTGTAATAAATTTTGAAAATGTTTGCGTTGTCAAAGATTTTTCTCGGTTTTTTTTGTTTTTGTGTAGGTAAAAAATATTTGATGGATTTATTTTAAATATAATAAAATTATATAGAAGAGAAAAAAAAATATTTCAACTTATTTTTTGCGTTATTAATAATTGCAAAAATAAAGATGAAAATATGAAATTTTTTACTTCAAATGACAAGCAAGAAAAATGGCGAACATACCCAGAGGCAACCTCCGTAAAATGGTTAATGGCATAAAATAATACCGGGGAATGAGAAAAAAGACTATGAAGTGCTTGAAAAAGAACCTGTAACAAGTATTTGATGTAAACTTTTTAATGCAGTAAATATGGCTTAAGTAATTTCTTTCTATAGATTCTTCAGTTATAAAGAAAATGGTTGCAGTGCTTAAAAAAGCCAAACCCTCAATAAAAAATTTTTGATGTGGTAACTCCACTTCTATCTTAATAAGTGTTCAAAGTTATATAATTTCTAACCATAGAAAAGCTATGGTATAATATGTGCAATAGGAATTATATATTCTATACCAGGGCTGTTCAAAGCACAGCCCGCGGGCTATGTGCTAGATTTATGTGACGACTCGCAGCTGATTAGGGAAACATGTTAGAAGATTGAATCTTGTGTTTAATCATTGCTCTTGCAGTTGTGAAAAAAACTATAGAAGTCCCTTACATCTACCTCGTGAATGCACAAAAGTAATTTACTATTTTAGTACCTTCTTTTTTTGAGGATCTTAATGAACTTCAGCATCTCTCACTAAAAAGCATTTTAAGCTTTTCCAAAGGTTCAATATGGTTTTTAAACCTCTGACTATCTTGCACAGTAATGCAATGAGCAATGAGGAATTTAAGGATATTCCATTTTTATCTTAACCATTAAAGTGTTCGAAGCTCCTATGACAAAAAAAAATCGATCTACATAATAGTCGAATGTAAATAAATTCCTTATACCATATAGATATAAATAATCTATACGTGCGAGTCTAATATATATAAAATTTTGGATTTTTCAAAAAGAATAAACAAATTAGTTTTGAAACCATTTCATGGAATTAAATTTCAATTTAACTAATTCAAGAATAAAAAAATTGTTATTTTCAAACTTTTAAAATTTTAGTACAACTCATGTAACGAAAAAAAAACTAAATTTCAACCACCATAAAATAGTCAAACTCTGTAAATCCTTCCGCATCGATTTCTGAAAACCGTGGAAAAATGGCTTCTCTTGCTTGCGCAAAGTACTTAGATATATCAAAGTTTCCTTTTTCTTTTGTTAAAAACTTATTTGTAGCAATGAAAAATACAATCAAATGAAGGAAGCAGCTGCTTATTTATTGGCCCGCACTGATATACGTCCTAGAATCGGTATAGTTTGTGGCAGTGGTCTTAGTAACTTAGCGGAAGAGTTTACAGATGCAGAATCTTTCCAATACAGAAGAATCCCACATTTTCCTATATCGACTGTAGATGGTCATGCTGGACGTTTAGTTTTCGGTTATATTGAAAATATTCCTCTGTTGGCAATGAAGGGATGCTTTCATCATTTTGAAGGATATTCGCTACCAATATGCACGTTTCCTATACGAGTAATGAAATTGGTTGGTATTGAAATATTAATTATAACAAATGCATCTGGTGGTGTCAATGAGAAATATAACATCGGTGATATTATGTTATTACGCGATCATATCAATTTTCCGGGTCTTTGTGGCAAGAGTCCACTAAACGGTGCTAACTTTACTGACTTCGGTCCACGTTTTCCGCCCATGGCAAATACATACGATAAGGAGCTGCGCGAGATTGCGGTAAGGGTAGCAGATGAAATGAAAATTAATAAGTTTTTTCATGTCGGTATTTATGCTTGTGTTGGCGGTCCGAGCTGTGAAACCATTGCAGAACAACAAATGATGCGATTATTTGAAATTGATGCTGTCGGTATGTCTATGGTGCACGAAATTTTAGTAGCTCGACACTGTAAGATGCGGGTGTTAGCTTTTAGTATAATAACTACTGAATCTATTCTAGAATATGACCTAGAAGACACTATTAATCACGAAGAGATATTAGCAGTTAGCGAGAATCGAGAAAAAGTTTGTTCTGAGTTTGTCCGTAAATGTATTCATGAAATCGAATATCCCCCCGAGTCAACAGATAATGTTGGTTCATTAATTATAAAAAAGTAGATCACAAAACAAAACTGTCACAAAAAGGGAAAATTGTTTAAATAATGGTAAATATTATTTTAGAATACTTTATAAAAAAAATATAGATAAAAAATATTAGAGAAATATATAAAATATAAAAGAATTAAAGAAACATATGGAAAAAGTCTTTTATATTTTTTGTTATGTTATGTATAATATGAAATATAAATATTATAAATACTAATAGTTAATTAATTTAAGTAAAAGAAAACAAAATGAATATTAGAATGGCAATGGTAAACATTTTTATCTTGCACATATAATAAAGGGTCGAAATAATGGGGACGCTGATATACTGATATGACATTATTATATATTTTAAAGGGATGCCTTACCCTCTTCAGTACTTTTTTCTTTTTCTTTTTGGCTTATATTAGCTAGTATATTTCACCCGTAGTTCACTGAAAACTTGAAAATTAGATTTTGTTTACAAAAAAAGACAAACGCTCCTACCTGTGTACGCCCATGAGCACATGCAAGTCAAATGAAGTAATTGTGCAAAAACACTTCAATGCTTACAACCACTTTTCAAATACAACAACCTTAGCGCGAAAAATAGAAAGCTGATCTACAGCCAGATAATTAGACCAGCACTACTTTATGGGTGTGTCGCATATAGCAAAGCTGCCGACTCTACTATCCAGAAGCTACAAGTTGCACAAAGTCAGGCTCTCCGCAGACTCTTCAAAGTGTCATGGTACATCCACACGAATGTAATGCTAAGTGACCTTAGAATAGATCCGGTCAAAAAATACATAAGGGACAGAGCTCTGAAGCTATATGCGAAAACCGACAGGCTGCTCTACTTATGCACTATCTAATCTCAGAGTAATCACTAACCGCACGAGGCGGTACGCAGATCTTAGATGAGCCATTGAATAATCACGAAGCTTATGAGGAATACACAAATAAGTCAGTGAGATGGGTGGGACTATTCAGGAACCTCCCAGCTATCAAAGAGTAAAAGTGCCAAATACTTAAAAACTATTATATTAAAACTATTATATTTTCACAACTAATTACGAGTATTAGAAATAATTATTATTTTTATTATTATTAGTTATATTATCAATTATAATTATTATTATTATTAATTTTTTTATTATCGTAAAAATTTTATCTAATCAATATAATAAAAAATTTCTTAGCGCAAAATTTTACAATTTATAAATAATTTAAAGCAAAAATTTTATTTCAAATATCATCTAGAATTTTTCTGAATTTATTAATAATTAAAATGTTAAAAACTTTCCCTTTCTTGAGTAGGAACTCAATTAGACACTAAACTTTCACAATTGTTTCATGATAAAAGTATTAATTGCCTTTCAAAGGAAATCGGAACAAATTATTAAACTGATTAAAAGTTTTCCTGTATCGATGTTATTCCACTTCTCGCTATAAATTGCATTAACTTTTTCCGATATGCAAAATATTTATCATATTTTGCCGATTAAAAAATTCCACTTGGATTTTAACTCCACTTTTTATATCCTTTAATTTCAACATGAAGCAGCAGTTTTGCCAGGAAGCAGAAAAGTTTTTAGTTCATTTTTTTCCTTTCAATTTGCATTTCGCACTGGAAAATGTTTTTCGGAAAACTTTGAGCGCATTAATCCAATAACTTTAACTTTTTTAACTTTCGCATATAAATTTGTATTCCGATGCCACTACACTGGAGAGTGAAAAGTATTAAAAACTGAAAAATAAAAACTAAAAACTAAAACTGAAAACTGAAAATCTATAGGAATGCAAAAAATGCAAAAACTGCAATTAGTATTCATGTTGAAGAGGCGAAAAGACAAAATATTTCCAACTTTTTGTCCAAACATACGCGTTTGTTCACAATTTAAAAATTAAACAAATACAAAATATATTGATTGAATATTTTAGATAAAAATTTAATAGTTTCCGTGATAAAAACATGTTAAATCCATTTAAATACGATTATTAATATAATTATTTTATTACATATTTAATATATTCGATTATATTGAAATAATGTGATTATAAACAGTTATTATTAAAAATATTTGTAATTATTAGTAATAATTTAATTTGTTAATTTAAATATAAAATAATGTAACTAAAAACTTAATTTAAGAAATATTTAATCTAAAAATGATATAGAGAGAGAGAGATAAGATAAGAGAGAGGTTATGAAGAAACCTCACAGTTAATAGAGAGTAAAAGTGTTCAAGTGCACTGACTTAACTAGCCTCAATATAATAATATATAGTGTGAAAGTACTTTAACTTTGAAAGCTGTCTTCTTCATAGCCTCAACACAATATTATTTAGTTTCAAAGTACTTTAACTTTGAAAGCTGGCTCCTTCGTCTTTGAAAAACAGTCATCGTAGAGGTGAGTGGCAGAGTTACATTATATACCAAAAGACATAATGTTAAAATTCTACGAAGAAACTAGACTTACTATATCTCAAGTATAGTTCAAACGAGTACAAACAGCTGAAGTACATACGTACTTACTTACTTAATTGGTCATTACAGACGTGAGTCGCCCGAGTAATCTCCGCCAGCCAGCTCGATCAGTAGCTTATTGTCGCTAGTTGGTAGTACCGAGTGCACCCACCGGTCATCTGGTTATTCCACCGAAAATGTGGACATCCTCTACCGCGTTTTCCAACTGCGGATACCAAATCAAGTATCTTTCTAGTCCGATCACTTTTTTCAATTCGCACGACATAAACAAGCCAGCGAGCCGTTGAATTTTTATGCGCTTAACTATGTCAATGTCGCGATATAGCTCATACAGCTCATTGTTCCATCTAATTCAATACTCGTTACCAACGCATAAGGGACCATAGATCTTTCAAAGAATTTTTCTCTCAAATGCTTCTAACGGCTTCTCATCACTGTTGATAATTGTCCAAGCTTCTGCACTATACAGCAGGACAGGCATGATAAGATACTAGATACTTTTAGAGCGTGATTTTTGTTTGTTGAGAGAAGGCTTTATTTCTCAATTGCCTGCTTAAATCGAATTAATCTCTGTTAGCAAGAGTGATTCTTCGTTACATCTCTAAACTGACTTACTTTTTGGTATTTACGATGGTTCCCAAATAAACAAAGTCTTTCACAACTTTAAACTTATAATTTTTAACAGTGACTCAGGAGATTTGTTTTTCGGCAGAAGGTACTTTGTTTTACTGAAGTACAGCTAAAGTAACTACTGGAAAGATATACTCCACTGTTACTATTTTTTTTTGTTTTGTGAATTTTTTTTCGCCAGAAAGCACTTTTTTTTACTGAAGTACAGCTAAAGTAAATACTGGAAAGATATACCCCACTGTTACTATTTTTTTTTGTTTTGTCGACCAACAGATCTATCAAAGACAAAAAGAGTTGAGTTTAAAACCAGATAATAAAAACTGTGTTAAACTAGATCTCAGTTGAAACTAAAATAATTTTTTTACACTTTTGAAATTATAAAATCAAAATAAAATTAAATATTTTTAACTAGAATTTCAAAAATCAAGGATTTACGTTTTATTTTAGCTTGCGTTATAAAATTGATATTTAATTACTTGAATTTAAAATTCTCACTTAGTTTAATTGTTATTCTGAATAAATATTCACAAGTGCGCAGTGTTTGGTTTGAAATAAATTTTAATATAATTATAATTTGCCTGAACGTGTTTCCGTTTAAAGTCAATACTCTTTGCATTGTACTTATGTGTTTCGAATAAGTGTTTAAATTTGTATAAGTAGAAAATGATATATTCTAATAAATTCATGTTTTTTTTTTTCTCAAACGGAATTGCTCTGATGTACAATAAGTAGAGTCAACTTAAAAATTAAGATTCTTAAATTGTCATTATGTATATAATTTATACGATTTCTATAGATTTTTTTTTGCTTTTTATCTTAATAATACAGCTTTTACTCACTAGACCCCAAAAACATACTATTATGCCAGTCCCACACGCATTCATACATTTTTAGCAAGGAAATTTTAAACCATGACCTCTATATATCTTATATGAATTATCTTATATGACCGTCATCAACTCGCGTCTCTTCGGGTACAAAAAAAGTGTAGATATGGGCTTGTGCCATATCTTATAGTCAGTTATAAAACTTTTTATTAAAGCGAGTTCCATGCAAGCACGGAAGCTAATGTAGCACAAAATTACTTGGATTAATTTTAGGCCATATTATACTTTTTAGAAATTTAATCTTAACTTAAACACGTGTGGTGTAATTTAAATGAATTAAAATACATAAAAATAAAAATGCATTATAGAGTTGAGTTAATGAATTTGTTTTAAAATTCTTACTTAGTTTGATAGTTATTCTAAATAAATACTAAAAATCAGGAAGCGTTTACGTACAAATTATTTTTAATGCATTTATAGCTTGTTTGCTTTTTCCTATCTTTTTTGTTTTCTTCCTTTCTTGTCTTAATGGCTTCTAGAGTAGAGTAGAGTAGAGTAATAAAAGCAAAAACCTCTCTCTCTATCTCTGTTGAACTAAAATTAAGTTAATTTATTTTACTATTATTAAATTATATAATATTTAGTTTTTATATCACATTTCCTATTAATTACAGGATCCCAAAATACTCGATAAGGTCACGAAAAAGAATGGTACTGATTTAGTGGCCTTAGACAAAAGATCTCTAACGATATGCTCGAATACAGATTATATTAATATAACATATCATCATGTTATATGTCCGGATGCGGATACAGCCAAGGTAAGTTTTATTTTAAATGAACGATTGTGAACACCAATTTGCTTTTATGTTATTTACCAATCTTTACATTATATTATTTTCTATTTACTAAAGCATCTATTTAGGAAAAATATAGCTCTCTTTTTCTTAGAATATATATTATACAAAAAATTTGTGTATTGAACAGAAAAGACTCAATTAATGCTGAACTTTTAAAGTTATAAAGCATGTTGTAGTTCTAAATTGCTGTATTAATGCCTATTTTTTGGATATTGTTTATTCTAAGACAGATTTAAATATACCTGGTTTATGACAATCAGATAATGAACAAAATAATAACAAGTATCTTTGTTATACTCATATCTTTCAGTGGTCGTTATTATATACGAAATTTCGAATATTTTAATAACGTTATGGAAAAACAATTAGTATTATACTATTGTATATACCCTTTGTTGAATATTGTGCCTTAGAAACTTAATATTTATTAACTCAGTAGTGCGGATGTTCCTCGAATTATACGGAAAAACTTGCCAACTATCGAATTGACGAATATGGTTTGAAAACTACTATTTTGTGCAAATGTCTATTATTCTATATTTCCCATATTAATATTGCTAGTTCAATTCTATGATATTAACCTCTTCTCAACAAAATGAGTCTGAAAGAACAAAATGTCCGCTTTGTTTAAAAGCGCATGGAATCCCTACTCAATTCTGAAATTCTTTCTGACTGCCTGGCTCGCATTTTTTCTGACTGTCCGATTTTAATCTGGACTAGGAAGAGCTTAGTGATTTTTTTCCCATTTGTTGTGATAATATAACCTAAACAGCTGACATACTTGCCTCAAATCAAAAGACGGAGCGTCTTCCGTTCAGTTAGTGTCGGTTAGAAGCACAAAATCCGAGTATCAGTCACTTTACTTTAGTGTGGTATATAACCCCGTATATTTTCTATTCTTTTTTATAAGCCACACATATACGTTTTGTTCTTTAGTAATATCGTGAATAGTTAAATCTACATGTAAATCTATATCTATATACAGTAGTCATATGTGCTATCAGATAGAGTTCTTGAGCTTTATTCCTTAGACAGACCCGCTGAGTACTCTTTGATGGATTTTTTAAAACGTATTTTTGAATGTTATTTTTGAGGAAAAGCAGTCCTTTATTATGGCTGCGAAACATGGAAATACTTAAAACAGATAGAAAGGAAGATACAACTATAAATAAAAATGCGAAAATGGAATGGATAGGAAATAGAACACCAAATAATTACATTTCACGTAATGCTTTGATATGAAACCTACAAGGCAGCAGATGCCCTGGTGTACCGACTTTAACTTGGAGAAGAACAATTGAAAGAGAAGTGACAGAAGCGCACTACATATGGAACGATATATACAGAGAAGAACCTAGCAGAGTGCGGTTTAAGAGAATCGTTGCGGCCCTATGTCCCACTAGGGGAAACGGATCCTAAGAAAAAGAAGAAGTGTAGATCTCACTTTACAACAAATAAAATACAGAGGTAAGAAAAATATATACTGGATACTGACTTCCAGCGAAACGGAGCCATGTTGATCTTTTATGCCTCTTAATACAGAGGGTAGTAGTCAAAATATAATAACAAGAAGCGATGTGCAATTTAACGGCTGATCTTTTGAAATGACGCCTCTTACCTATCACTTCCAATCTCCTCATTTCGCCTACAAGTGGTGGTGCTGCTAACCCTAACAGTGAAATGTCAGTGGAAAGGAAGGGAACAGAAAAAATGAGGTCAGAAATCCTGGTCTGAGGCTGGCGACCTCTTATCAGTTATAAAATCTATTGCCACGAATCCGAGAGGAGACAATGGTGGTTTCTGGACTGTGATATCAAAATGATGATGAGTAGTCAAAATAAGTGATTTAGGATATTATCAGAAAACAAGATTTAGTATCTCCATTGTAAATTTCATACTTCGCTGGTGATCATTTTAACATACTATCTAATATTACCTAGTTACTTTATTACATGATAAACCAAGAACCAAGAAACATTTTAATAAAAACACGTATTTCTTGCTTTGAATTTCTCTTAACATAACATTAAAGTATCGACGTGAAAATTGCCCATCAGCCGGTACTGCGGTTAGAAAAGTCCTATTGAACCAATTTCACTACTGATTACACAAAGCTCTTTAAAGTTTTGTGAACAAAATCTAGAACTGAATCTAGAGAAGAGCTCTTAATCTGCTCTGGTGACAGAAATTCCATATGAAACAGGTTTCTTCTGTGCGTTATTAAAGCTGGACAGTCACAAAGAATGTGTTTGGTCGTTTCCTCATCTTCGAAGCATAATCTGCATTCCGAGTTAGCAGATAATTTTAGTTTATGAAGGTGATATTTCAGACCATAATGACCTGTACTGAAACCCGTTATCAACCTTAAATTACATTTTGAGAAGTTAAGAATGTCTTTGTAGGAGTACGGTGTTATCAGTGCTTTGCTCTGTCTGAGACCTGGAAAGTTTTCCCAGTACTCCAGCCGCATATGATTTTCCCTTTCCTTAATAATCTGTTTTGTACTGGGCCTAGTTTATTCCACAAAAGGGTTCTGGGCCTATAAAAGCAGTTTTTGATGCAGTTCTGACTAGCTCATCAGCTTTTTCATTTCCCAAAACACCCCTGTGGCCCGGAACACGTAAAAGCTTACCATATTCCAAGCTGCAAGTTATTGTAGGAGCTTATAACACTCTAGGACCTGTTTTGATTTGAAAGTCCAAGAAGAAAGAGCTTTAAAAGCAGCCTATCTGTCAGAGTAAATAACAATTCTCGAGCCAGAAGATTTTTTGATTAAATTGGATCTTACGCATAAGTTGATTGCGTGGATTTCAGCTTGGAAGACACTCGGCCATGTGCCCATTGCTTCCGAAATTCTAGTGTTGGGTCTATATACACCAGCACCAGTGCCTTCATCAATCTTTGATCCATCTGTGTACCAAATCATAATAACATAAAACATAACATAAAATAGATATTAAATTATAAAGAAAAGATGAAAAAGTATATAAAACTTATAAATTATAAGGTATAACATTGAAGTTATGTTTATTTCAAAAAGTTTTATAAAGAAGAGACATTTTTCTTCAAATATACTTTAAAATTACAATTTTAGAAGTTTTAAATTTAATAATTTTTAACCTTACAAAAAGCATTCTTTCATATTAATTTTAATTTTTACACAATTATTACATTTTCAGCATAATCCTTGTGCTTACATTCCTTGCTCTACTTTGCGCAAAGTCTGACATTAAAGTTTAAAAGTAACAAATTTTTAGTGTCCAAAAAGCTTATTTAGTTGGTTATGCCTTCACAAAATGTTCCAAACTCAATGTTAACTATGTAAATTCTTTTATGTAAAATAAGAAAACTTAGCAGCCATTCTCCATACTAAATACTAAAGTTCAAACTCAGCACAGATACACACAATGACACAGAAATACTTCAGCTGAGTAGTGCAAGAGAAAATCATTTGCAATTCTTCAGATTTCCTTAGAAGTCAAAATTTCTTTAAATTTTCTTAAAGTTTTTATCTGACATTGAGATAAATTAATTTAAAAACTGTCAACTACAGAGAAATTACATTTTTATTACAATCAAAGTTAACTGCTTAAGAGAGCAAAATGATTTTCAGGTGAAAACAATGCAATTCTGGAATCAAAAATGATAAGGAAAGTAAAATAAACTTCTATTTAACTTTTGTGAGATACAAAAGTTATGCAAGAAGATATTAGCACACTCTTAAAAAGATATTTGAAGTTATTATCAAAATGAAGACAAATGATTTGGCAAATCTGAGGAAGAAGGACAGTTCAGTTTTACTGTCAACTTTTTCAAAAAAAATGTCTCATTTATACATATATTTTATTTAATGAAACTATACTGGTACTTTAGTAGTTAGTTAAGAAAATTATTTTTTTTAATAAAATTTAATATTTGTTAAGGTATTATGTTATTATTGAAAAGAAGGGATCATGCACTGCGACCTAAAAGATCTATTGTGCCCTTTAGTCGGATAAGAGTGCTTGTCCAACTCCGATTTCTTTGATAAAAGACAGTATAGAGCCAAATCTTGGATCTTTATAATAGCAGTATTATATATGTATAGTAGTAGTACATTTTCGAAATACTACAAAAATATTCGATACGAAAAATTGTCACCATTTTTGTATACCTTTCTTTATTTTAACTCTAACTTTCTTTATTTGAACTTTTGTTTCTCTATCCAGTTTTTGACTTGTAAGGTGCTTATAGCGTAATAGGCTTTAGCTTATAAAAAGATTAGCTTTCTATCCATTTTACTGTCGTGTTTTATAATAACACAACTTGTTATTATAAACCGTGCTACCGGCATGGCTTTCTTAGACATAGCCAAAGCTGAGGCCTTTGCAGATTCTTTGGAGCTGCAATTTCAGCCCAATACTGATAGTGACTGTAATTCTCTGGAAGAAGCAAATATTGCTGAAGAGGCTGCTAATCTTAGGAACCTGATGTCAGATGAAAGCATCTCACAGTGTTCCAGAGATGAGATTAACTGTATTATTTCTAGTTTAAAGGCCAGATCGGCACCCGGATATAATAATATCAGTAACAAATGCCTACGTAATCTTCCAGAAGACGCAATCCAATGCATCGTTAACATCATCAATTGCATGCTTAGGCTTGGCGAATTTCCAAAGGGGTGGAAGATTGCCTCAGTCATAGTGTTTCCTAAACCGGATAAGAATCCTTCATTTCCGCAGAACTGGCGTCCTATCAGTCTGCTCCCAACTATGGGGAAATTGGCAGAACGAGTAATCCTGACTAGGCTTAAAACAGGCTTAAAACCACTCTAAGTAAACGGGAGTCAACCGGGATGATTATATTTGACATAGCCAAAGCTTATGACAAGGTTTGGCATGATGGTCTAATAGTGAAATTGGCCCGTTTTGGGATCCCTAGTGGTTTGACTAACATCATTGGTAGCTTCCTGCAAGAAAGGT